ATATATATATATATATATATAAATGAGTTGTGAGGATAAAACAACCGTTTTTTCCCCTAAACCTTCTCCCTATACCCACTGTGAATATAAATTCAATAAGATGCTTAAGGTCAAAGGTCTAATACGCTTTAAAAACAAGCATTGTAAAAGTGTCCTTGCTCACAAAAATCTCATAAAGACCATCTCCTTTTCTCCACTAATCCCTCCCTCGTTCTATTTTTTAATTTTTTTCCCTCACTTGGAGTTGCATTATCCATTTGAGGCAGAGCCGCTACACATTGGCCCGGCTTTGCCCCGGTGTAAAGTGGAGATGTTAATGTTAATTAAATCATTCATTTGGTCCAGATTAATTAGCGTCGCACTACTTTTAAGCYGAGCCGTAGCTAATCAGATTAGACCAAGCCGAGGGCCGAGTCAGGCAGATGGATACGGAAGAAGCTCGCTTTGAAGTCCAGCCGCCGTCTGTCGGCTGAAGGAACGCGGACGGAGATTATTCCATTCGCCGTCTTTATTTCTTTTTATCCTTTTCTGTTTTTCCACTTAACCTCTCCTCAAATCGCTTTATCTGTTGTGACAGTAAACAAACGTGCCTGCAGGTGTTTGCAGTGTAGCATTAACTGAGATAATTATGGTGCTGATTACCAAAATGACATAACAACAATCTGAAAAGATACAGTCAGCATCTACTGGTACTTTTTATTTATTTTTTTATTTATTTGTTTGTTTTGCTTTCTTATGTCCTCTGATAGCTTTTGCTGAATAAATAAAGGGTTTTTGGTCATTATTTAAGTGATGTTCTGTCAAATAGTTGCCAAGAGTTTGTCCATCAGGCGTGGAGAAAAGGGCAGGCATTTTGTGCAGGCTAAGCTAATGGCTAGCCCAACTAAGGCCCTGTACTTAAGCTAAACAGTGTCATGCAAACATGTACAATTTATTATTAGCTAATGTAGTTGGGTTTTTTTTTAGAAAGAGTTGTTTTATAAGACTGTAAAACTAGAATATTAATAATAATGAAGACCCTGACACTCATTTGGCCTTTTGGTTTGATTTTTGTTTCTTTATAATGTGGATTTTTCCTTTAACTTTCTCTTCTCTTTATWAAAGCCTCTGTAGTTTCCACTCAACTTTTCCTTCTACCTCTCAGTTTTGTTGGGKTTTTTTTTTCTCTGAATCTCTGAGCCTCGTGGGGCTTCATCATCTTTAAATTCATAACAATTCTTGTTGCTGATTTGTTAACAAGTGCTGCTCAAGTTTATCCCCCAACCTTCTACCGGCTTCCTTTCATCTCCCTCCCCTTCAGCTTCCAAGGTGTTTGAGGTTTAATTTATTTAATTATCTGTTTATTTATTATTTCTTTTACTTTTAATGACTTTTTCCACTCTGCAGTCGGTAAAATGTTTTTTTTTTTTACGCAACAAATTATCAATTCCCTATTGGCGTTAGAAAGCATTACCTGTTGAATTAATTTCTCTAATATCCCTCTAGGTAACTTTTTCCCCTCCTGTTTATCATTGGGAGAAGAGTTTTCTCCTCGTTTGTGCCTCAGAGTTGTAATAATCACCCCCTGAAAGTTTCAGGTGTTATCAGGTGATTAACATAAATCTATTCTATTCCAGATTGTTTTGTTGGAAAAGTTCCTACTTAAAAATTGTTTTACAAACACCTGTATTTCCCCAAAGTACATATTTATTTGCTCGTCATCAAATGTGTATGTTAAAGTGATCATACAACTGTTGCACGCACGCATATTATTAAAGGTGAATAAAAAGAAGTGTTGTGTTGGTGCCAGAGCATTGAAACACTTTTATAATTGTATGTTTGTCTTTTTTATGCATTGCTTTGCAGAGGTCTATAAAGTACTTGAAAAACATAAGTAAAAGTAAAAATTACATGAACAGAAAATTACTTTGGTAAAAACAAATTTCGCTGATGAGAAAACTACTCAAGTAAAAGTCATAAAACTGTTCACAAAAATTGGGAAAGTAAAAGTACTTTTACGCACTCTCTAAGAAATAAGYTGCTGAATTTACTGAACCAAACTGGTTCCACTAATCCAGGTTGAGTAAACAGAGTAATATATGTATATTGTTTGCTCAGTTTACTGAAATAATCTTAGAGGAGCCAGTTGACATGACTTTGTTGAGTAAATTCAACACTTAATTTTTAGAGTGCAGAAGCATCTTTTATCATGAGTTTGAACGTATTTAATTATGTAACAACTAATAAGGTGTCACATTTTAAAGTAAAGTAGTAAAATTATCATTTTTAGCTTTAAAATGTAATGAAATAAAAGTAAAAGTAGCTATTTAAAAGAAAACTGATAAAATTACAAATCCTAAAACAAAACTACTTAAGTACTGTAACAAAGTAAATGTACTTAGTTACTATAAACATCTGTTGCTTTGTATGAACGAGGATTGGGAAAAAATGGGGGGAAAATTTGACATTAAGAATTCTTCAAGTCAGAATTTGAGATCAAATTCAGAATTCAGACTTTTTTTTCATAGAATTATGATCAAAATTTTGACTTTTTTCTGAGAATTTCTGACTTTTTGAAGGAAAAAAGTCAGAAATCTCAGAAATCTGACTTTTTTTCTGAGAATTCTCAAATCATAATTTTGAGATTAAAGTCAGAATTATTTTTATTTTCTCCCAGTGGCACTAATCCTCTTTCATATATTTGAAATAAACATGAAAACTTACTTCTAAATTTACATCTCAGTCGGGTTTGATGTGAGTTTTATTAGCGGTACGTTGCACAAAAAGAGAAACCATTTACTATAAACTTTAAAACGTCTTGTAGATTTTTCTCACAGCAACGGTTCATTTGAGTCTTATTTTTAGTCTGTTTTTGTTTRCCTCTGTATAAATTAGCAGTCTGGGAGTGAGATGTGCAGGTGTGTGGTTACCATGGTAAACACGATGAGCCACTGGTAGAAACATTAACATTTATTTATCATAAGCTGACAACTGACTTAAAATGTTACACTTATTTGAACGTACGACATTAAAACCACCTGTTCTTGCATCCTTTCAAAGGTTTCCTCCTCTGCACGGCTTCATTTTCTCTCTCTCTCTCTTGTCCCCTCTCCGTGTGTGAACCAGCCCACCTGTACAAGTGCAGAGCGTTGCGGGACAGCTGTGGGATGTGCCTGAAAGCTGACCCCAGGTTTGAGTGCGGTTGGTGCATCCAAGACAAGAAGTGCTCCCTGCGGCAGGAGTGCACCGGAGGAGGAAATTCCAACCTGCCGCTGCAAGTGGCTGAAGGTGGAGGATGGATGCACGCCACATCTGGAAACAGCAGGTGCACTCACCCCAAGATCACTAAGGTAAGTGAGTGTGGGTGTTTACATATGTTTCCTGTGGCTGCTTGCACGGGAAATGAAACCTCTCRTTGAGATTTCACACGCCTCGTTATCACCCACCTGATAAAACAAACACTCAAGCTTATATATATAATTACATTATATGTAATAATTAAAAATTTATCAAAGTAGCATCTACAACTGATTAAACTTAACTCTATTCTAAATAACCAGCACAGCTAATCAACATTAAACATAATGTTTATACCCAGAGTTGTAAAGTAACTAAGTACAAATACTTTGTTACTGTACTTAAGTAGAATTTTTGGTCCACTTTTTACGTCTACTTCTTATATTTTTAAAAATGGCAAGAAGTAGAAAGTCGTTACTTTTATTTCATTTTTGCTTGTTTTCATTTCAGCTTGTTATTGTAAAAAATAAATACTATCCATATAAACTGWGCCTCCTAGATAAAGTGAATTTAACTGTGGTTGAATGAGAAGTATAAATATATAAAACTCTGATACCGTATTACTTTGTACACAAACAAACCATGTCACACTCCAGCAGGACAGATTCTTTAAAATAAAAGGACCATACTTAAGAAGTATTTGTATTTCATGAATTATATTATTGCATTTGGCTGCAGCCCTCAGATAGATTTTCATTTTGGGGAAAAGTTTTGTGCAGCCTTGATATATGTATATAAACTGAAACAGCTGGACTAGCATCTTAAATTTAACATAAATTACCGGTAATTATTTTAATACGACAGTCATTTCTGTATTGTTTTGGGGGGAGGTCACCTCCTAATAAGTGTCATTAMAGAAAATCTAACTGCTCATTTTAAATCAATACTTTTTCTTTCAATACTTGCGTACAACAAATATCAGATACTTTAAGACTTTTACTCAAGTAATTTTCCTAAACGAGACTTTAACTTTTACCAAAGTAGATTTTGGTAAGATACTTGTACTTTTTCTGAAGTATCACTTTGTGCTACTTTGTCTGGTTATACCCCAGTCAGTTTCACAAATATTGACCTAATTTTTGGTGTGRTAGTAGCTGAGTGTCATCACTAATTCATAATCAGAGCACCAACAGATCACATGACATCTTTGTATAAAACGTTGGTATGCAAGGCAGCAGACAGTTTTATGTAGGAAGGTTTGTCTCACTGATGTGCTGTGTGACAGAAAGAACATGTTGATGGGTTTTAAAGGCACACTTTTAAGTGTGTTTTATGTGTTTTAACTGTGTTTTACACCGTTTTATGGAAATGTTATCATCCATAGCCCAACAACTAKATTCAACTACTGTTCGCAAAATGGCTCCAGTGATCCATTCCTACAATATTGTGGAAAAAAAAAGAGAGACAGAAAGAGAAAGGAAAGCTACTTCTTTGAGCATCTTGGCCTCATCAGCTTTTGAAGACTGTAATGTCACCTGTAGAGATCCAAGGCTGGTAAATCTTGAAAGGATGTTGCATCAGCTCTCTTTGTTGAAGTCCCTGTAGTCACAGAACTCCTACGTGTCCTGAACCGTGAAGGAAAGCTGCTCTATTTTAATGTGCTGCTATTAAAACGCTCACATTCGTCGGGACYTTGTGCCTGCCCTTGGCACATATTACACAGGGTTACATCAAATTTTGTTCTCCAGAGACAGCAGCATGATGAAGTTTGTTTGGTTTTGATAGATTTTTCCTTTTTTTGTTTTAATTCTATGAAATATCATTTAGGTATGGTACAGTATGGTACAATACTTACAAAATGTTGATTTATTTGACGTCTGTCTTTTTTCTTTTTCCATTTATTTGTGTTTGTCTGGATTGTTTTTTCCACTCCACCTTTATTTCTGTTGAGACTTTAGCTATACASTTAGTGTTTTTACAGTTTGAGCAGAAAACAAGATCCAAAAACKTACCTGTCCATTTTGTTTGATTTTGCAACATATAAACAATAAGGCTCAAATGCATACAGTTGTAAGCAACACCATTTAATATCACAATTTTACATTTTATACAATGACATAGTTTGAAGAGGTGTTCACTAGTATAAATGGTATATAATTATTTATTTATGTTTATCATCCATTTTGAGGCATGAAGACATTTTGTGAATGAAATTTACCTGTAAAATGCTAGTAACACATTTCAAAGATAATTAGGCCCCATTAAGAAGCTCACATTCTAAACATTGAAGCACATTATGCAATACTTACTGTATGCAAAAATTTGTAGAAATAGTTTGTATATTTGTATAAATAGATTGACCAACACAAATCACACAAGACATTAAAGTGTATCTGTGCATGCAGTCAGAGGAATATAATATAGCAAATATAATATAATAT